TTGAGCTTAAACATTTGATTTTGAATTCTGATCAACTACAAGCATCTAAACTTGTTGCTTATAAATAGAGGCACTATTCGTGAGCTAACACACGAGCTTAAGCACCTTGAAACTCTCCCAAACTCCCTCAAATCAGAACTGGCACCAAAACTCCATTTATGTGCACATTCTGACTTTGAACTTGTAACTCACAATTCTCTCGTGCGTTTTTCTTCCTAATCAATCAAAAAGATCATATACATCAAATATAGTCCATCCCTGTCCATGTTTCATAACTGTAACTCCATCTTCATCATCCTCCATAACTAAAAACATAGCACTGCAAGTTGACTTCTCCAGGCCATTCCAGCCATCTACTGCTCAAGCTAACCATTGCATTAGCTTCCTGGGAACTTGAGGAAGCTAACCTGATCATTACAGCACCTTGAATCAAACTCAATTGTATTTCACGATTTCCAGTTTGGGGTATCTTTTCTGAATTTCTTTTTTTTCATTTAGGCATTGTTAAGCTTGCATTTGTGAAGATAAAATATAGATATCATTACCCTGAAACTGTACTTGTCCATAGATTTCATTTATATTTATTGAGCTTAGAGAATTTTAGGTTTGAATATCTGAAAAAAGTTAGGTCAGAATTTGGTACTTTTAGAAATTCTCATTCATATTTGATTTATAGCTTATGATATTTATATGGTTGGATTCGTATGGAAAAATGGATCAACTTTCATATTTGCATCTTTCATTTTTATTGAGAAATGAGCAGGTTACAGGAACCATGGCTGGAGGTTGAAGATGAAGTCATTTTCAAGACTTGTTTTATGTTATGTATTTATCATTTCACTTATGTTAACAGATGTACAACCACCCTAGTGGCAAAGACAACGCGTTTTTATCTCAAGGTCCCGGGTCCAAGTCCCAGCGCTGCCTTTTATTTAATTTCTCAATATTTTCCTTCCTTTTTGTTCCAAACAGCTAGCACATGGGCCTCCAATGGTGGGCCTTGTCATTTTTGCTGACTCCTAACCCCCCTACCTGCTTTCACACACCTGGCCCAAACTTTTTTTCTTTTATCATTTTAATTCATTTTATTTTCTTTTTTATTATTTTATTTTATTTCATTTTTCTTTATTACTTTTTATTACTATTATTATTATTATTATTATTATTATTATTATTATTAATAAAAAATCTAAAAAATATTTTTAATATTATTTTCACATTTATATTCTTATTTTCTTTATAAAAAAAAAGAACAAAAATATTTTCTTAACAAATTAATTTCTTTTTCTTAATAAATTAATATTTAGATTTAGGTTTAATTATTTTTTTCTTTTTTTATTTAAAATCAACTTAGAATTTAGATTTATTTTAATTAATTAATTTTTATATTATTGACTTAAAAACCTTTTCATAAAAAATCCTAAAAATGCTTTCTAATTTAATTTCTTTTCTTAATTAGTTTAGGTTTAATTTTTTATTAATTTTAATTAATCATTTTCTTAATTAGGTCAAAACTAAACCCTTTCATAAAAACCAAACAAAATCACTTCCTTTCCATTTATTTTCTTGCACATTTATTTAATTCTTGTATATTATTCAATATGGTTGTAATAGATAATTAGGTTTAATTTTCTTGCAATCCCCATTTGTAAATTTGTATACCCTCTCATCTAATGATGTAATAGCATAGTAACTTTACTTTCCGTAATTTATCGATTTAATATAAATGTTAGTAATTAGGGTTTGTATGGCAAGACTAAAATCAACAATTAGTAAATCCTAATTCAAGATAAACAATGCATATAAATCAAACACACTTGCACACTTGCACCCCTAGGTTAACTCCACTTTGTTGCCTTACAAAAATGGTCATTTTATGCATGTGGGATATCTTAGCAAAAGCAATAAAAAATACAAGATCATAGTCCCTTGACGACGCTATAAATATTGCCTTTCAAATGATCTTTGTCCCTCAAAGAGAAATGCTAAGATATCTCACAACATTGCTATCATGACTATACGATGACCCATGCCCGTCCCTTTACATCCAAAGATAATTCTTCTTACAAATAAATGGTAAGATAGCAATATCAAAGGAAAGAAAGAAATGAACAAAATACTTCTGAGTAGGTAGATTGTTCCTAGTTGCTTGCTCACTTTCAAAACAAACATCCTTGCTCATTTTTCAAAACAAACACCAAACACTTTCAAAAATACTTTTCAAACATAAAATATTTTCAAAAGTCCAACACTTTGTATACGTTCTTACGAACGAGAACCATTACAAATCTTGCCTAAACGAAGGCGCCTTTTCAAAATACTTTCATAACCACCACAAAACACATTTTCAAACAAAGCAAGTGATCTAACAATAACTAAGAGCTCATAGATAACTATGGATGAAAAGGATGCTAATACCTTCCCTTTTTCATAATCTACCCCTCGAACTCAAGAAATAATCTCAAAGGTCTTTCCTGTTCTTTTCCACCTTTCCTTTTGGATAAAAGAAAATTCGGTGGCGACTCTTGCTAACTGCAACATTTGCGATCAAACGCAAAACATCCCAAGTCAGTTCTCCCACCACATTACAGTCATGAACTCCATTTTTAACGCATAGGTTAGATTCATCTTTTAAAAAAAATAAAAGTCTAATATGCATCCATTAAGCTAAAAAAGTTCGGAAACCGGAAGCTCCACCCATCATCATGTCAATGCTCGACACCAGGTATGGCTTCTTAGGACGGTGAAGTTTACACACGTTTACCATTTTTAAATGTTTTATTTAACATTACTATATTAGCCAACCAAGTTGGATATTTGATTTCTTGTATAAATCCATCCCCTTCAACTTCTTCACATCATTAGAAATATTTGCTCTTTTGTCTTCTCTTTCTTTGTGGTTTCTATGAGAAATGTGTTTAAACTTGAGCTTGATTGTGAGATAGTGGCATATCATGTTCGTGTCTATTCTGGACATATCGAATGGTCTCCATCTTAATAAGTATCCATTCTCCTAAAGCACTTGACTAATGTCATTCTCTTTCCCCATAGTTAATGAGGTCCCTATTTAGGTAGTCTGATGATTCTGAGACATATTTGTATTGCTTTCAACTTCTTAATTGGTGTCATCCATCCTTCTAAGGAATCATATCTAAGATCTAAGTAAACAAATTTAACATAGTGGGAGCTAGGTGAAGGGTCGCTTCTGCCCTCCCTATTTGTTAAAAGCCTTAAACTGTCCTGGTCACATTTTCTTTTAACTTCTTGATCACCTCTTACCACTTCTACCCATCTATTTTAAGGGGTATTTCATGGTTAAATAGAGGGTTGAGAGGATAAATCCTAATATGTTAAAAGCTAGTATGTCGATGATGATATTATAAGTGGAAAACAACACCAGGTACCTCACTATTATGGCCTTCGTGTTTCATCGCCTTCGGAATATTGTCAAGATTTTGACATATCATCGTCCCAACACTGCACTCCCAAAAAACCTAGAAGTGAACCATGAATGGTTGTAGGAGCTCTTGGTCTAACTATAAAACTTCGAACGCATTCTAGTATAAGACATAAGCTAACCTCTTAGAGTCCACGATGACCATATTCACATTCCAATTATGCATTTGTAGGCTAATAATCACGGGGTCATTCTCGACCTCTTAGAGTCCACAATGACCATATTCACATTCCAATTATGCATTTGTAGGCTAATAATCATGGGGTCATTCTCGAGAGGTATGACTCCTTTCAGGTTTCTATTGGAGAAGCTAATATCAGGTGAGATGATTTTTCTTTTAATGAGAAGGATGCCAGTGAAATTAAGGGTAGAAAAATGGGTCCAATCCGTCAAATATGCTTGTTTTACCCGTCTTTTTTTTGTAAGGCAGGACAAGGTTTTTGACTCGCACCCCCTAATATTCTTGTTCGTCCTGTTTTTTGTGGACCTTTGCGGGCACAAACACATTAACATGAAAATTTACAATTTTTAAACTTAAAATATGCAACGTCTCGCGAACCCGTACCACCCCACACTCTTTTTTTTTTTAGGAGTGGGCAAAGTTTTTGGCTCGCATTCTTAACAAAACTCGCCCCACACTGCCTCATTTTTTTTATAGATTCTTACGAGACGGATCTAAACCGGACGAACATGTCCCTTTGGCATCCCCTAAATGAAATGCATTTCTTGACGACCATATCTTTTTCTTGATGAACTTGAATCTTCACCTCTCCCATAGTCTTGCCCAATCATACTCGCATGTGATTTGCTTAGCTATGATCATATGCATTTCTTCAATATAAAAAGACAAATAGAAATCTTGGAGGATATGTTTCCTCGTTGTGTTTAGCGGGGTAAAATGCTGCAATGACCTCTTGGTAGACTTCAATATAAAAAGATAAATAGAAATAAAAATACATAATTTTTAATTTAATTCTAATACATAACTTTTTTTTGAAAAAATAAAATAGAAAAGGCACCAAAATACAACTCAGATAGCCTAAGAATAGAGACCCAAGATGTACCTATCTCAGAAAAAAGAAAAAAAAACAAATACAACGAAACCAAAAAAAATGGCACAAGCTAGATCTCTCCATTGTAAAACCACGACAAAAACACTTCCAAGAAAGATCAAAGCCACTTAAATCGCTATTTGCACAGATGTAGAATAGAGTTCTCACGCCAAGTCGAGAAAGCACAAGAGTTATCCACTGATCTATCATGATAACATTTCCAAGATGAGCCCAATGAACCAGAAAACACTATATGATTTCGGAATTTCGGAATTTCCAAACCGACCAGACCACATAATATAGTACTTACACACGTTACAAATCAAACAAGCTTTGCATGCATAAATAAAAGGAAATAGAACTCTCCAACTCATAATTTAGTAGAGCACTTAACTAGAAATTAAGAAAACTACTAATTATCTTTGATAATACTAAGTATATCTGGATAATACATGCAGCATGCATGCATGCATGTAGAGCTTACTTATAGTTTAGAGAGGTGGACAAACAAAACCAGGAGGAGGAGTCTTCCCACAAGTGACTAAAACTTGAAGAGCAAGAGGAAGGAAAATATTCAGATTAAGAACCTTAGCCCTAATAGCAGTACAAAGACAAATAGCAGCTTCAAGATCAACCAATCCATGAATAACAGGACAGCACTCATTCTCCAAAGGGTTTCCAATTCCAACATGAACAAGACCTCCAAGAACATCCAAACAAAGTCCAAGTTTGAGTGCATCGATTGGACAAGTTGGTTGAACTACTGGTGGAGGAAAAACAGGAGAGACTGTTGGTGGAGGATATATGATCGTCGGAGGTGGTAGTAGTGGTGGAGTGACGATTATCGGCGGCACGACAACAACAGGAGGAGGAGTCCCTATTGGTCGTACTTTTCCCCCGCCGTGATGCGGTGGATGTTTTGGATGGCTTGGTTTGTGGTGGTGGTAAGGTGGTGGATTTGGTGTGCATGTACCACATGCATGTATCATCACTGGTGTTACGATATTCAACATTAATATCTTGAAAATGAAAAATAAAGCTTTTGATTTTGATGATGGCATGATGAATGATGTGAATGTGATACACAAACTTTGAGTGTTTTTCTTTGATTTTGAAACTGCACTGATAGTGTGTTGTTTATATAGCTGTTGTTTGATGAGGAATCAAGCAGGGAAGCGGTGATGGTTCTAAATTTGATTTAACTTTTTCGTTGTCATAATGTAAAAGGTAGAATCAAATTTTCAACTTGGTAAATTATGTAAAACAATGTCAGTGTTATAGAACATATCCCTAGGCTTCTGAGTGTCAGAGATATAATTGAAGTTTTTGGAGTTTTGTTTGTTGATTTGTGATTTCAAGGTGAACCCGTGACTCTTGTTCAGTACAATCCGTGAACACTGCTTGCATGGCGTTCTGAAACTTGCCGAACAGGATGCTATAATATTACCTTTGCTTTTCTTTGGTTTTTTCACATAAATTGCAATATTCTTCTTCTCTTTGGGGTGAGGTGTTTGACACCTCTCTCATTTTTCTTGACACGTTGGAAGAAACATGTAAGCCAAGTAGAGTGTTTGGACCATATAAACAGTGTTCATCATTTGCATTAGCTAAATTCTAAATATATATTTTGTCAATGTATTATCAACAATTGAGTAGATATATGTTGCTTATATAAGAAACAAAAGATTTGTTTATCTAATAACATGCTCTTACGGTAAACCTTAGACCGAGGAATTAAAGGTTGTAACATGGGATTTTTCTTTTAATTGGCAATCATGTGGGAGTATATAGGATACTTTGTCCAAAACAAGGGAAAGTATTTGCATCCTAAAATAAAGGAGAGGTACCGTATTTTAAATAGAAAAATTAATATAATCAATCGTTTTATAAAAGATAGACAATTAAATCTACGTTTTAAAAATAATCTTCGTCATACAATCATCGAAATTAAAGATATCCCTCCTTTATAGATAACTGTATTTCTCATCAACCACATGCTCTAAATAGTTGAGCCAAATCGCGGCTACAGTCAATCTTATCGATTTGTTCTTCACCTTCTCGCAATATTAGAAGAAGCTCATCAATTCCGGAAAAGGCAAAACCAACCTACCTTTTATCTAACTATAAACTTTATTCCAAATCCCGGTTGAATACATACTGTTGTACCCCAAAATTTGCCCTCTCTTTCTTCAGGAAACCATCTTGGATTTTCAGAGTCCCTCTGAAACAAATCCAAATCTTGAGTTATCATTTTTTGCCCAAGCAGACCATTTACAAGAGCAAGATGATCACATAAGCTCTAAAGACAACGCTTTTATCTTGAGAAAAATTAAATTCTAAGTACTTGGAATTTTTCTCTGAAAAAATGAGTGTTTAAGAAAAAATCAGCGTTTCAGAATTTCTGGACCAATTCCAGATAAGAAACGGTCAGAAGTTGCAAGCTTGGCTCAGTGCAGTCAGAAGTTGGCTCTTCAGCAGCTACATCAGCTCAATCAGAAGTTGTAAACGTGGTTCGATATGTAAGCCTCAGACAGAACATGACTCTTTCAGCAGTTACGCAAGCTCAGCCAGAATTTGCTAAAGGAATGCAAAAGAAGCAAGGAAGTCTGAAGGCTCTTTCAGAACATGCTGAAATCAGAAGATGAAAAGGTTAGAAGAGTGGGTGTTACACTGATACAGAATCTCTAAGCCCAGGAGGTCCAGAAGCAAATCCAGGGAACGTATCAGAAAATCAGGAGAATCCCCAGAACTTAATAAGACAACAGGAAGCCAAGGCCAGAGCATGGTTTACGCTGTTCTTGTTGAAACAGAACTGCTGGTTCAAAGTTTGGTTTCCCTTACCAGAATATTGATGTTGATAAGTCTCATCACCATTTAATGCTCATTAATGCTCCCAACCACTCCTGAACATTCATCCAAGTAACCCCTTCACGTGTGGCTTGGTAAATGCCTTTATGCAGATTCTGGCATGGGTCTACACGCCACCGCCCACCTAAGAGGTCACTTCTCTCCAATCCACGCCTGCTGCTGCAGCCTAGGCTGAAGGCTATCTGTTATCACAACTTCCCAGGAATTTCTGTCAAAGAACAATTCAAACTCTGTTGGCGCTTTAATGTTCAAGACACTCACAAGATCTTTGCCTATAAATAGAGAACCATTGTCCACTGAAGAGGGGCGTTCAAGAAACAGAAAAATTGCTAAGAGAGAAACAGAAACCTTTAGCAAGATAGTGTTGTGAAACTCTGCCAAAATCTCCAGTGTTTCATAACTTTGAAGTTCTTACCTTCAAACTTCATCAAATACCCAGTTTTCTTTGTGAACCAAAAACACCCTTTTCAAACTTCTGACCCTATATACGCATACACCTTCACCTACCATTTTCAAAAAGAATCTGTCCAGAACACCACCAGAGCCAAAAGCTAGCTTTCATCCACAATTTTTTCAACAGCCAGGTAAGCACCTGCTGACCTTCATCACGCTGCTAAGCATCATCAGCTGTGCATACTCAAATAAACATAATGTAAATATCATATTGTTGCTGTTTGTATTCTGAGGATTTTCATACCTCAGAACGTTCTGAGCCAGTGTAGGACGTGTCTGTGACCTTGTTGGTTCTGCCCTCTGAAACATTTTGACATTTGCTGGATCTGTTCCAAATATGTTTCCTGTTTTGTGGAATAACAACAAAATTGCAGATGTTCTGATTAGTACAGGGAAAAACCAAGTGCTGACTTTGACGTTAGTACATCTGAAGCCTGTTTTGCTGTCAATAATATCAGAACCTCTGAGAGTTATTGTCTTTCCAGCAGAATCAAAACTTCTGGTTTCTCCACTAACGAACTTCTGTCTTGCAGCGCAGGGGGGTCAGAACTTCTGGTTTCCCCACTAACAGGTTTCTGTTTTGCAGGTGCCAGAGTCAAAAGTTCTGACTCATACAGTTTAACCAAGAGGTTGATCATCTGGCAGCGGATCTGAGTCAGAACTTCTGATGACCTCTCAGCAGCGCGCTGGCTCCCTCTCTCTCTCTCCCTCTATTTTGCTTTTTGCTATTTTCTGTTTTGTCTATTTTTCTCGTTGAACCCCCATGTAAAAATGTGTACCCCCACTCCCTAATTGTTGTAATAGCGTAGGATTTTATATTTCCGCTTCTTATTGCTAGTAATTAGGACGTGTATGGCAAGATAAAATCAAATAGAAAATCCTAATTCAAAGAAAAAGCTCTTGTATGCAATAAAACACACTTGCACACTATCACCCCTAGGGTTACATCCACTTGTTGCCTTTCAAAAATTAGGCCATATTGCATGTTGAGTATCTTTGGCAAAAACAAAACAAATTCAAATGATCATAGTCCCTCGATGACGCTTTCCAAAGTTGCCTAAAAATGATCAAGTCCCTTAAAGGAAAAATTGCCCAAAGATACTTGGCACCATTGCAATCATGGTCTAAACGATGATCCGTGCCCGTCCCGTTCACATCCTAACACAAGATTGTCCACCAAATGCAATGGTGGAACAAAATTGTTAAAAGGGTTAAAAACATAGAAAAATCTTTGAGTAAATTTAGGGGTAAACCACTCTTAGTTACTTGATCAAACTTGCAAAAACACTTGCCTAGTTTTTCAAACCACACATCACTACACTTTCAAAACAACTTTCAAAAACATTGAAAATCTTTTTCAAAAGGCATACACCTTTGTATACATCCCAACATGGATCATTACAAAGGTTGCCACCACATTGGCCTCTTTTCAAAACATTTTCAAAACACATACACAAAGCACCATTTCAAACAATTGAAAATTAAGGCAAGTTGATCTAAGCAAGTAACTAAGAGCCCATGGATAACCATGGATAGAAAGGGTGCTAATACCTTCCCTTTCTATAATCTACTCCCCGAACCCAAGAAAACATCTCAAAGGTTTTTGCTGTGCTTTTTAACCTTTCCTTAGGATAAAATAAAAAGTCGGTGGCGACTCTTGCTCAACCGAAACATTTGCAAAAACAAACGCAAAACTCAAGTCAGTTCTCCCACCGTATCACAGAACTGGCGACTCTGCTGGGGATTGTATTTTAAGTGGAGTAACCTTAGGGCTTAGATCACCCTCTTGCATGACTAATTGTTTGTTTTGATTGCTTTATATCTTGGTTCTCTTGTTTGGGTTTACAATCCTACACTCGGATTTTGTGAAACATTCATAGATAGCAATACGTTGTGGAAACTGTGCGGGGTATACCGACACGGTTGAAGCAATAGCTATATTAGTGCGACATATTTGTGAGTACCGGTAACCCTTGAGTTCAATCAAGGAGAGTACGGGGCCGCTGAGTGATGTCACTAAGCACTAATGACCTAGAACCTTACTTGACCATCTTGGCCTTTCATTAGGGGTAGTGAGATGACCGACTTTGGTGCAGTTCGAAGTTGGTAGATACTCGATACTACACTCATTGAGGGTTGTTTTCTTGGAATATTTTGGTTGCTAGTTAAGTGGCTAAACCAAAACAATGAACAATGAAAATGATCCAATGATATTGAGCTCCTTAGAACCCGGTTACTATTTATAGGACAGGATTTTAAGCCAACTACACTCAAGAGGGTACTTACCTATGAAGCCCCATGCAAGCCTGAAACTAGGGTTTGGTGTGATTTGCTTGTACATATGTTTATGCATACATCATGAACATCATAAAGCATCATATGCAATTGCTAACCACTTCAAGGGTTTAGATCTTCATCTTTATTCTTGTTTTGTAGGTCATGGAAATTCCTTGCAGAAAAACCATCCAAGTCAACCTTGTAAGAATCTCTCCTCAACTCAAGGAGCTCACATCAAGGATTCCGGAAAGCTCATCCTTCAGTGAAAGATATGGTAGACTGTTCAGCTTAGTCAACACCAACATTGAAGAGGACATGATGAAAGTGCTATTCCAGTTCTTTGACCCTCTTCATCACTGTTTCACTTTCCCTGACTATCAGTTGGTGCCCACTTTGGAGGAGTTTTCTCAACTCCTGAGAATTCCTATCCTTAATCAACTACCTTTCAACGGTACGGAAAAGG